AGAAATGTTCTTTAGGCCAGTCTGATTTGCTCCTATTCTTGAATGTAATTATTAACAATGCCCCTTTCACTCTCAAGAGATTCAGTTTAGATGATAAATTATACAGTCATCCCTTAACAAGCCTGTTGCAAGGGAAGGGGCCATGTCTTTTTGGATATATTCTTTGTGTCAATCTAAGAAAAATTAGTTTACCTTTCCTACAACAAAGCCTGTGGGACCCTATCTTGCAGTCCTTTAAGTATTTCTTTGATGCAATAATTAACAGCTCACATAAGCTAATGAGTAACTCCCTGTAGCTCTCTTAATAGCAAAGCAAATAAAGTAACTTTCAGGAGCTCACCTAACTCAGTAGTCTTGGGAGGGAAGCACAAGGGATTATACTTTCAAGTTGCTATTTGAGAAGCAATTTCTAATCATTTAAATTAGGCTTTCCACTTAATAAGTGCAAGATTGCGTCCCCTCCTTGGGCAGCAAGAAAATGGAGATGTAGAGAACTCTGACACTGTGCTTCTTTAGGATAGCATTTCAGGCTTGAATTCAAAGCCCTGCATGGCCTCACACACTTTGCAAGGGCTTGAGGACAGGGTGTGCTGTGGGTTAGCAAAGTGAGGGTAGTAACACCATGAGGTGCTGGAAGGGCGCTGGTGGGACAAGGTTTTCAGGTGTACTATGGACCATGAAAGGATGAACAGTTTGTAGGTTCATGTAGGTTTCACTGAACTGCTAGAGCACCATGCTTGCCAAATGACTTCAATCTAAAGGATTTAAAAATACAAACTGAGACTAATTTCTTCCCACTGGGAAGAATTACCATGAGACCAAAAAGAATGCCTCTGGAAACAAATTGCACATAATTCCTTACCAGCCAGGCTGCTTGCTCAAGTTGCTTGGCCACTGTCCCCTGTCTACAGAGGCAAGGAAGCTGGAGTTTCAAGAGCCAGCTGTTCCCATTTTACAAGGTTTTGGTCCCAGAAATCCTGAATCTTGCCATGCCTGTCCTACACCATACATTTACACATCTGATGTTTTAATATGCTCTTGATCAGAGGGAAGACAAAAGAAGTCTGGGCGTGACTCAGCTTGCATTCAATTTAGGAAAATAGGTGGAGGCCTGGGGGGAAGTTGGGGCCGGTGTAACATGGAGAGCCAGCTCAATGAACTTTTGGTCTGTCCCAAACTTCTGCCCCTCTCCTACACCATCAGCTCTTTGCCTAGAGCACACTTGGTTTTCAGATTCAGAACTTTACATCTGGTAAGGCATCTGTTTTGTCAGCATCCCTTCATTTTCCAGGTGCTAAGCATGATTTATGCGTTTCTAATTCCTGAGTGCTCCTCCCTGTTTCGCAAAGATACAGTGTTGGCCAATTCCTTGAGCAGATGACATATTTCTTACTTGCTACATATCTTCTGCCTGGAGTTCTCTGGGTGGGTGGAAAGCAATGAGTAAAACCTACCTAGGTAAGCTTAAAGCACAAATCAGTACATTTCTCAAATCTTCCTTTAGAAGATTAGAATCAAATTAGAATTAGAATCAAAGCCTCTTCATTTATCCTTGAGGAAGATAAGATAAAGTTTAAAAAGAAAAGACAACACTGCTAACAGAGTTTAAAACTTGTCCTTTGTTTCACATGCAGAGCTACCATTTATTCAGTACACACCAAGGGATTGATAATATAGGTAAGATATTATTTACACAAATATATGTATATATTTATCCCAGTCCTTTCAACAACTGGTAGATATAGATATTATTAGTCTCATTTTGCTGATGTAGTAATTAAAGCTCAGAGAAGCTATGGAATTTACCTAAGTCACATTTGTGGGGCTTCCTATGGAGTTTGACATTTAGGGATTGTAATATCAGAAGAAGACCATGGCCATAGCCAGCCTTCCATTCCCTATTTCATACAAATCTGAGTTTAGATTCATGTTCTGATACTTCCTAGCTAGGTGTAGCCTTGGGAAGGACGCTCCTCATCTGACTTTCCTTATTTATAAAGTGAACAAAATGCCTTCCTTCTTAAAGCAATCAGAAGGATGAGCTCTAGCCCTGGTTTGTGAATGCTTATTTCCAAACCAAGGGATGGAGCTATGTATCACAGATCCATCACACAGGAGCTACTATATGCACTGTTACTCAATTCCTTCAGCTTCCCTAAGTATTTCTCCTGTTCAGTGAGATTCTGTCTCATTGCTTGGTCTAAAAGGTCAACCCCATACTGCCTTTCCATTTGCTCCTTCTTGCTTTATCTATACACAAGCCAGGTCAAGAATCTGGTCTGGACACGGTACAGAGCCATGTACATTATAAATACGTAATGTATATTGAGTAAGTGAATGAAAAAACATAGTCTTTGAACCTGAAAGACCTAGGTTTGAACTGTGCATTTGCTTTATATACGTGTGTGTGTGTGTGTGTGTGTGTGTGTGTGTGTGTGTGTGTTCATACTGGGGCTTGAACTTAGGGCCTCATGCTCTGATTCAGCTTTATTTATACATGCTAGTACTCTACCACTTTAGTCATGGCTCCAGGCTCAGCTTTTTGCTGGTTAATTGGAGATAAGAACCTCTTGGATTTGTCTATCTAGGTTAACTTCGAACTGTGATCCTCAGATCTCAGACCCCTGAGTAACTAGGATTATATGTATAAGTCACTGGTACCAGGTATGGTTTTTGTTATAGGTACAGTAGTGGAATTTGAATTCAGAGCCTGTGCTTTCTAAAATTCAAAGCCTTGCGCTCTAGTACCTGAGGCATTCTGCCAGTTCATATTGCTAGTTCTTATTATCCATGGGGGTACTACTTATAAAGTCCTTAATCCTTGACTTTTTTATTTGTAAAGTATAAAGAACAAAAACTTGAAAGACTCTTTTCTTTTTTATGTGTGTGTGTGGGTGGGGGGCTTGAACTCAGGGCCTTGGTGCTATCCCTGGGCTTTGGTGATTAAGGCTAGCATACCACCACTTGAGCCACAGCTCCATATCCACCCTTTCTGGTAATTAACTGGAGCTAAAAGTTTCACAGACTTTCTTGCCCAGGTTGGCTTTGAACCAAAATCTTCAGAACTTAGTTTTCTGAGTAGTTAGAATTACAGATGTGAGCCACCAGTGCTGAGCTTTGTTTAGAGCTTTTGGGATATGTGAGAAAGCTGGAAGTTGTGAATACCTTCATTAGTTTTTGCTGGAATGTCTTCTTTGTTAGACCATTAACACGTGAATAGGTGTGAAAGCATCAAAAGTGCTAGATATTCACATACATACACATGTATGTATGTATGTATCTATCCATCTATCAATATATATATATATATTATAGACATGTATATAGATATGTATATATGTCTGTACATCCACATAGAACATCCTACTGGTCTTTTTTTTTTTTGTCGGTCGTGGGGCTTGAACTCTGGGCCTGGGCACTGTCCCTGCGCTGTTCAGCTCAAGGCAAGCGCTCTACCATTTGAGCCACAGCACCACTTCTGGTTTTCTGGTGGAGTACTGGAGATGAGTCTTATGGAGTTTCCTGCCCGGGCTGGCTTTGAACTGCAATCCTCAGATCTCAGCCTCTTGAGCAGCTAGGATTACAGGTGTGAGCCATGGGGGGCGCGCCGGCTACATCCTACTGTTTGAAGAAACTAAAAGGAGAGAGAAAGATCTGGTGGAGAGTAATTAATATAGAAGTATATCATATCTATATGGAATAAGGAATCTCCTTGAAGGCTGTTAAATAATAAGAAATGGAGTGATAAAGAGACAGACCAATAGAAAAAAATGGTTAAAATATGATATTTGCACTTGCAAAATACCATGGTAAAAAACACATTGCAATTAACATACCATTTTTTGAAAAATAACAAAGCCAGGAGCTGGTGGCCCATACCCGTAGCTTTAGCTATTCAAGCTTAACGTGAAGGATTGAAGTTTTGAGGGCAACCAGGGTAGAAAAGTACAGAAGACTCCACCTCCAAAGTATCTAGAAAAAAAGCAGGAGGCATCGTTGAAGTGGTACAGTGTCAGCCTAGGAAGCAAGCAAACAAGGTAAGTTCAAATCTAATACTGCCCCTCCCAACCCCAACAAAACAGTGAATGAATGACAGGAGAGTGGGTAAGAGATGGGTGAATGGAGAGGTTGAGTAAGTGTAACTATGGACCTAAATATGCACGGATAAAAATCGAAGGAGACCAGTTGAAATTGTTTCAAGAAGAGAGAGTTAAAATAGAGGGGAAGAAGTTGATGGGAAACATTATAATTACATCGGGAGAAATCAAAGTGAAGTTCCCTTGTACAACTATTGTATGCCATTAAAAAATCTTTACAAAAGGAAATTATAACACATGCGATGCTAAAAGATCAGATTTCAGTACGTCCTTGTTTGGGAGCACAAATGGTCAGATTTTGAGCCTAAGATCACTCAAAAACTGGGTGTAGGGAGGCCCCTCAGTGAAGGCAGCGCTGGAGAAAGGGGACCTAGGGGGCACTGGATTTTGTGGTGGGGGGCCTTACTGGTCTACGCATCTGTTGACATTCACTGACCAGTTATTCTTTCTATATTTCGGATTGTATTTCCTGCTGCCTTTTTAAAGCTGTCTTTTCGACAGCATGGCGTGGTGGTGGGGATGGTGATCTCAGAAGATAGGAGATCCTCTGGGCCTGTCACACAAGATAGGAGATCCTCTAGGCCTGTCCACAATTTTCTGGCTTGAAAATCATGTAACATAAATTCCACACGTGCAGCTTTGCGATGAATCCAAGGTGAGAAAATCTGCAAAGTGTGATACCGATATGTGCAGCAACAAGCAGCCAAGCACGATATCCTTCTCTTCCAGCCCCTTTCCCAGCGCTTCAGTCTCCACTCTGCTTCCCCACAGCGCACTGGGAAGGAGGCTTCACCCCGGGGAGGAGCCCTCCCCAAGCCCCAAGCCCCGAGCCCCCGCCCCGCCCCGCCCCGCCCCGCCCCTCCTGATCCCTGCGCCCACACTCTCTTGGGCTAGGTCCTGAGCCGAGCCCGTCTGGCTGCGCGTCCCCAGCCCCGCACCGCTCTGCGGGCCGGCCGTCAGGATGCAGGCCCCGCACAAAGAGCACCTGTACAAGCTGTTGGTGATCGGTGACCTGGGTGTGGGCAAGACCAGCATCATCAAACGCTACGTACACCAGAACTTCTCCTCGCACTACCGGGCCACGATCGGCGTGGACTTCGCGCTGAAAGTGTTGCACTGGGACGCGGAGACCGTGGTGCGCCTGCAGCTCTGGGACATCGCAGGTGAGCGCCCCCCGGAGCAGGGCGTGGGGGACCGGGCTCGGGATTCAGGTGGCCAGGGCGTTCCTCCCCCACCTTTACCCCCCCTCCCCTGACTCCCCCGCTTCAGAGACTTTCCTTGGTGGCTTGAAAACCTGTTTGCAAAGATGAAAACAAAAGTTTCCCAACTCCAGTAAAACCAAGTGGCGCGTTGGGTTGGCGCTCTCAATTCACTCGCTGTGCTGGAGCGGGCGGCCACAGGGACCCAGAGGGAGCCGGGGCGGATTGCATAGGATTCTCTTAATTTGTTTTCTGGGCCCTGGGTCTCACACAAGCGCTCCGTGCCCAGCCACAAGGAGCAGCAGGTAATCTCAGGTTAGCAGTACTTGGGCCCGTTACTGTGAAAAAAGCAAAGTATTTCAAAGCTCACTTGATTCCGAGTTTCACCAGCCTCTCTTCGGCTCTCCAATAAAGGAACTTGGAAAGGCACTGCTTTTTATATGCAAATCAAGGACAAAGAAAGTTGCCTCTCCTGGCCACCCCCATCAATTCAATGTCTTTAACTCACCATCCTCTCAATTTTTCAGGCTCTGTAGTCTATCAAAAGGGAATTGTGGTTTTGTTTTAAGACAACTTTTGGGTAAGAGTGGAGGACACCAATTAATTCGTGTGTGCCTGTACTGGGGCTTGGACACAGGCTCTTCCTCTCCCTTGGCTTTTCAGTTCAAGGCTGGTGCTCTATACAATTCTACTCTCCATTTCTTGCTGGTTCATTGGAGATAAGACTCCCAGGGACTCTTACCTGCCATAGGTGGATTCAAAACGGTATCTCAGATCTCAGCCTCCTGAGTAGCTAGGATGACAGGTGTGAGCCACCACCAGCACTTGGTTAAGAATTATTTATTTGAACCTAAACATTTCATTGGTCTGAAAAATGAGATGCTTGTAATTTCCCCCACAGTTTTGTTAGCATCCATTAGTTGTCTGAGGGGGCTTCCCCCTGACATATTCTCAAATGCATACAATATACCTTGTACTCTTCACTCTCCTGTTAATCTCCTTGTCTTCCTTCCCAAGCCAATCTCAACAAGCCCCATTGTTTCATTTTTACCCTGGATGTACAAAGCGAAAGTTTAAAAAATAGTTTTTGAAATCAGAATTTGACTGAGGAGTTTGTATCAGGACTTAGGCAAAGTCAAAACGATGGTGTTAAGTGTCTCCTTGAAGAACAAGTCCTGGGACTAAGGCTGTTTGCAACCAGAGCATGCCCAGACTCTTATTACAGATGCTGGCTCTGCCACTCAGCAACCTGCCTGGTGGCTTTGGACAAGTTCCTTCAATTCAATTGCATTGTATTTCTACTAAACTGAAAGGAGTTGAGCAATGGCAGATTGGAAACCTTCCTGCTTCAAAGTTCGAAGGTTCTCAGAGATTGTCTGTGAAATATTTCAGATTCCTTCATCTCTTGCTATTTAGTGGTCTGTAACACCAGGAAACCACTCCTGATAACTGATAATTATTGCTGTACCTAAACTAGCCAATTCTTTTTTTTCTTTTTTCTTTTCTTTTTTTAGAAAAGAGGTTCATTTCAACTGGTGCATTTGACTGGAAACATTTTATCATGACTTAAAGCGAGAACAAATGAGGAGAATTTTTGAAAGGGCATTTCTGGTCTGAGGACTTCAATGCCTCTTTAATTATGAGCTTCTAGGTCTTATGATAAAGCTCTTGGCACGTGGACAGATTCATGCATTTGAAGTCTTTGGCAGCTCCAGAGGTACACTGGTCATCAAAGGCCAGAAGATGTCAGTCTGGGTCTCACTGGGATTTCCACCTAAAAAAAAAAAAAATCTACACTGAGTCTTTATAATGTGTTGATACAGGTTTTCGTATCTGAAAGCTTATGGCTGCATAAAAATCTCCAGATCCTGGGCTTAGAAATAGCTACTATTTAATTTTTGCTTCAAATTTAAGTGATCTCAAGTAAGTTATACATCTGTAACATGTCACATGTAGTGTCCCCTTCTAAACAGGAGAGAATAGAGGGAGATAGTGCGTTGGGCCTAGGGTTCAAGCATAGAAACCTGACAAATTGGGAGGCTGAGATGGGGAGTATCATGGTTTGAGGCCAGAGTGGGACTTGTGAAACTGCCATCTCAACCACTAAAAAGCTGGGAACAGCAGAGCTCACCCCTTATCCCAGCTATGCAAAAAAAACCATAAGTAAGAGAACTGTGATCCAGGACAGCCCAGGCCAAAATTGAGACTACATTAGAAAAATAGTAAAAAATAAAAAAAGGGCTAAAGTTGTAGTTTAAGTGATAAAGTCCCTGCCCGGCCACGGTAAAACCATGAATTCAGGGCTGGGAAGGTGGCTCAGTGGTAGAGCGCTTGCCTTGCATGCCTGAGGCCGTGGGTTCGATTCCTCAGCACCACATAAGCAAAAATAAAAAAGCCGGAAGTGGCGCTGTGGCTCAAGTGGTAGAGCGCTAGCCTTGAGCTGAAGAGCTGAGGGACAGCACCCAGGCCCAGAGTTCAGGCCCCACTACTGGACCCAAAAAAAAAAAACAAAAAAACCCTCAAAAAACCCATGAATTCAAATAACAGTACTCCCCAAAAAAGATAAAGAAAAGAAGGATATGTGGTTATGAACTTAAATTCCAGAGTTGAACTGCCTCTGTTGGAATCCCACATAGTGATCTCGGCAAATTCCCTAAATCCTTTGTGTTTTGTTTTTGTTTTTTAATCTATAAGCAAGGAGGACGTTTTATTCCCCCCTTCCCAAATAAACGCTGAACAACTAAAATGATGCCAGCTAAAGGCGATCATGTCTCCCACAAAAGCTCTTGGAGGATTATTGTTGTATCTTTTCTTGAGCACGTGTGAATGCTAGGCAAGAGGAACATTATATGCCTGTAATGAGTCCTTTTAAACTGTAGTTACTGTGGCACACGTACTACCTGCGTCCTCAAGTAACCAGTTCCATTTTCAGCCTCACCTACTTTACATCATAAACCAGTCTATCTCCTAAGCTTTGACATTCTCCCTGAGCCATAGCGCTGGACTGAAGTTGGGTTGGAAGCTGTAGTCAGAAGTCTGTGTGAGTAAGTGACTGGGAGTTTGGCAAAGTCAGTTCTACAGATACAGTAATGTTTTCAGCTTCTCAATAGGGCAGTGTCTCACACATGCTCAGTGATAACCTAGCACTGGCAGCCGGAAGCTCAAGAACACTCTGAGCTGAGTTCAAGGCTGGGGAGTAGGCAGCCTCTGGGTGAGCACAGGCCAGGGTGGGAGAAAATGGTACATGTTTCAAGTTGCATAAAGGTCCTGTTGGTGATAAGTTCCTATGAAGTCCAAGCCAAAGCTCATCAGACTCTGGTCACTTATGTGTACCTCCAAGCTACAACCTGTCTTTCCCCTTTGTGCTCAACTCCAGTGTTATCCAGTAAAAACAGGAAGTGAAGTGTAGTGGGCCTCCTTTTCAGAGGGTTTGGGCTGTCAGTAAGGTGGAGGTGGTTACTAGGTATGTGTGCCATTGAGGGTCTCTTTCCTTGGTTACATTCTTGGTGTGCAATGCTAAGTAGGACCCTATGTGACCAAATATTTCCATGTCACTTTATTTCTACTGTCACTTTGACTGTCTAGTATGATTCTGAAATTCCCCATTGTGGTCTGTACTGTTTGAGGGAGAGCAGGTACCTTGGATCCCAGTGAGAAGGACATAGAGAAACAATTCTGTGTTCAGAAACTCTGGACAGAGTCAGAGAAATTGAGTAACTTTGCTCAAGGCTGCCCAGCTAATAGTGGAAGATCCGGATTTCACCCATTCTGTCTGACTTGGATGTAAGCCATAGTCTTTTAAGTTCAGAAGCCTGTAATTGCTTGGTATACTCTTTAGTCTACAGAAAAGACCCTCTTCTCTTCTCTACTTGGCAGGGAATTTTTCCCTTTCTCTGCTAATTCTAACTGGGTTATTGGATATTGACTATGTCAAAACCGGAAAGACATGAATGAACACTTACTTTATAAATCTGATACTCGGTTATGAGTCTTGGTAGGGTTTCCCTTTTAGATATTATAGATTAATCAGGAAAAGAAAAAAAGCCAAAAACTTTTATATTTGATACTGTTAATATGCTCCAAATTATTAACATCTTAATAAATAGCTTGAGACAGATACTGAATTTAATAAATTATAGAAATTTAAAAATGTAGTTCATGACATTAGGCCAGTTACAAAACCTTGTGAACTCCACCTATAGAACTGCAATTGTTTTTTTCTCAGTGACATCACTTATTTATAAGATATTATCTCTTGCAGTTTCTATCAGCTTTAATATCATAGTCTCACTGTGCCTAGGGAGTAGGTGGTAGTTTCCTTACATGCCAGCCCAGTGCCAGGTATGAGCCTCTTGCCCATTGTGCCTTGGTTTCTTGCTTATATAGTGGGGTCACTAACAGAGGCTATCTTTTACATCTGTTTCCAGCATTAAATGAGCCAGGTGCTGGTGGCTCACACATGTAATCCTGCCTACTCAAGTGGCTGAGACCTGAGGATCACAATTAGAAGCTAGCTGGGTCAGACAAATTTAAGAGCTTCTTATCTCCAATTAACCTGTAGTCAAGAATTCAATCATCTTATAAAATTTAGAAAAGTGAAAGAAAGGATGGGTAAGAATGTTGAAAGGTTGATTAAGTTGCATTGTATTCATAAAATGTTTGTTAAATAGCAACTCCTTTTATACAATGACTTAAAGATAATAATAATAATAAAAGAAAAGCTATTATCTCTTAAAAAAAACAAAAAAACTCAAAGCAGTACAAAGCTGGAAGTGAAGTTCTGGCTCAAAAGATAAAGTACTTGCTTTGAGTGAAAAAGCCAAGCAAAAGCTTGAGGCCCAGAATGCAAGCCCCAGTACAGGCGCATGCACACGCACACACACGCGCACACACAAACACACGCACACACACACGTACATATGCATGAATGCACACATGCACACATACATGCACACAGGCATTAA